GGTAATTTATATGTTACATCGAGATGTAACTTATTCGATTGTATCATATGTAATTAAAGCGTCAGACACGATTGTTGTACAAATACTTCAAAATACATCATTCAAACCGCTGCTAATTACTCAATGTACATTGATTTAAGTTCTCATATAAGATAAGAGCAATCTAGTCAATCTACAAGTAAGTCCTAATTGAAGCAATATCAGGGCATTTTTTTAAATTATGTAATTTGAACAATATTACTTAAATACATTTATCTGTTTGTTATTTATGAGACTATTTATCAACATTATTTATACAGAATATATTTGTTATTATGTGAATAGAATTGTAAAATTGCCAATAGAACACATATAGTTCACAAAATTTGAATTTTATTATTTTTATTTTACCTGTTCTATAAAAAAAACTAGCAAAGACGAGACCTAACTCAGTGAAAATTCATCATATTAGTTAAGTTAAACAAATTAACAAAGCTTACTTAAAAATTCCCGGATATTGTTATATAGAAATTTTAATGAAATGTCTGTGTTATATTTGTTAAAATAAAACACAATTAGTAATCTTAAACAATTTTACCTTTACATAAAAGTGTTCACTCAATTCTTATAGCTTTATATCTTGTCCCTTCTCAGAATTTTATTACATATCTAGAAAAAATTATTTTATGTTATAATATGGTAATTTTTAATAATTTTAATTTTAATTAAAAATAATTATTAGTAAAATCTGATTTTACATCAACATATAGGGGATATTCTTCTTTTTCTACTTTTTCTTCGCCTATATTGCATCAGATGCCATTGAAGCATCAGACACAATTGTTGTACGAATACTTCAAAATACATCACTCAAGTCGCTGCTAATTACTCAATGTACTTTGATTTAAGTTTTCTCATAAGATGAAAGTAATCTAGTCTATCTACACGATAGTCCCAATTGGAGTAAAGTCATGGCATTATTTTATATTGTACAATTTAAATACTTTAATCTGTTTACTTTAGACTATTTATTAACATTATAAAGAATACATTTGTGATTATGAGAAAAGAATTGTAAAATTGCCAATAGAACACATATAGTCCCCAAAATTTGAATTTTATTATTTTTATTTTACCTTTTATTTATTTCTCTACCTCTTCTTCCTTCAACATTCATTTCCGTAACTGTTCTTACAGCTTCCGATTCCTGTCTGCTCATAACATGACCAACCATTTAAGTCTATATTCTCTCATCTAATCCTCGATTGATGCTACACCTATACTTCCTCTTATATGTTCAATCCTTATCCTATCTTCTCTAGTCACTCCACTCATCCATCTAAGCACTCTAATGCCATTCTCTGATTTATTATCTTGTCGACCACCCAACACTCTAATCCATACATTATAACTGGTCTAACTACAATGTTATAGAACTCAGCTTTCAGACTTATTGGAATTCTCTTAACACATCAAATTCTACTCTCCACTTCATTCACCCGCACTTAATCCTGTGTCTTACATCTTCGTCAATACTACCGTTCTTTTGCACAGCTGATCCTAAATACTTAAAACTTTCCACCTCTCCTATCACGTCCTCGTGTTTTCCTTTGTCAAACTCGTACACTATATACTCCGTCTTACTCCTACTTATTCTTAATATTTTTCTTTTAAGAGATGTCCTCCACACTTCTAGCCTTTGATTAATTTCTCTCCTATTTTCACCTATTAATAAATTAAAAAAAATTAAACAATCATTTTTATGTCTACTGCAAAAACACTACTTTTTGAAATATTCAAATTATGGTTATTATATTAAATGTAAATGCAAAACCAATAATTTATTTGAAATATCACAATGAAATATTTCTGAACAAAAAAATTAATAAAAGCTGTTCCGTTAGATTTTGACATATTTATTAACTTTTAATGTAATGAATGATTTGTGTTACCTTTTTTATTATTTTTAGTTTTCACAGTTTTAAACTATTTTACAATATATATGTATAAATATTTTTTTTTAATAATAAATAAAATAGTAGTACATTTTGTAATTTTTTCAAAGTTTAAAAATAGCCATTTTGATTTTTTCTTACAATAAATTTTGATAGGTTGATATTAACTTTAGTATAAGTACTTAATAAATAACAAGCTTCTTAAAACATAAAGTAAGGATAAAAGTTATTAAAGATTTTAAAACTTAGTGAAACACTCCGTATAAACAATTTCATAATTTACTCAGGTGTTTTATCTAAATAGCGAGCTTTATACACTCCTATTCAAGCATCTTCTTCATATACTTTAAATAACTTATCTCCTAATAATGAAATTATCGATTTCTCCTCTTGTTTACTTTCTATCTCCGAAATTTTCAACGCCTTAAATAACTTATCATTTAAAACAAAAATAGGTCCAGATAAAATACCCGAAATAATTTACCGTAATTGTTCTTATACCTTAACCCGTCCAATTCATTTTTTATTCAACTTATCATTATCTACAGGTGTTTTTCCAAATCTTTGGAAAACTAGTTTTATTTATCCGATTTTCAAGTCCGGAAACCGATCTCTCGTAAATAACTACCGTCCTATATTCTGTTTAAGCGTATTACCAAAATTATTGGAAAAACTTATAGAACCAAAAATGTCTAATATTTTTAAAACTATCTTATCAGATAATCAACATGGCTTCCGTAAGACAAAGTCAACTCTAACCAACTTGATGACTTTTCATACTGACTTACTGCATTCCGTTAGTAATGGTGTTCAAGTTGATGCAATATATACAGATATTAAAAAGGCGTTTGATACAATTAACATTAATATATTAATAGATAAACTTATTATTATTGGTGTAAGGGATCCAATCCTTTCATGGTTTAAATCTTACTTATCTGATCGAATACAAAAAGTAAAAATAGGTAATTCGATTTCTCCAAACATAAATGTAACCTCTGGAGTGCCGCAAGGTGGTCATCTCTCACCTTTATTATTTATAATTTTTATCAACGATATAAACACTGTATTTCGACATTGTAAATTCACTTTATTTGCAGATGACTTAAAGCTTTATATGTCAACTTCCTCAATAGATGATTGTAATAAATTACAATATGACCTAAATCAATTCTGTTTATGGTGTGCAAATAATGGTTTAAACTTAAACACGGATAAATGTAGTCAAATTACATTCTCTAGAAATAAGCAAAATTTTTTATTTAATTATCACATAGATAATGAAAACCTCAATATTGTATCTAATTTAAAAGACTTGGGTATAATTTTTTCTAATGACTTTACATTTACCAAACATATAAATGAAATCCATAATAAAGCCTTTCGTGTATTTGGATTTTTAAAACGGAATTGCTGGGAGTTTCATGACCTAATTTGCCTACGTGTTTTATACTTCTCTCTAGTACGATCGATTTTAGAATATGGTTCGATAATCTGGAACCCTCATCAAGAGTATCTTATTAATAAATTAGAACGAATCCAAAATCGATTTTTACGTATGCTGGCATATAAAACAAATAATGTTGAATTAACATTACAATCATTATCTTTAAAATATGAAATAGATAGTTTGGAATTTAGGAGACAATTTAAGGACATACATTGGCTCTATAACTTACTAAACTTCAAAATTGATTGTCCAGATATACTTGCTTTAATTAATATAAATGTTCCAAATATCACGTTAAGATCCACATCTACATTCTACACTCCTACTTGCAAACGTAATTATTGTCTATTTGCACCGGTAAACCGAATGTTAACTCTAGGTAATAAACTTAATAATTTTGATTTTTTTTTTACCGAATTCACTTTCAGATTTAAAAAATTGTTATAATATTTAGTTATAGTTTTATTATTATCTTAAATACTTATTGTTGTTTTTTTTTTTTTTTTTATTATTCATCTTTATTATGTATGCAAAATTACTTTATTCATGTATTTTAACTAATTATCTCTGTACTCTATGCCCACAGGGCGTTTATTAAATAAATATTAAAATATTAATAATATAACATATAAAATCGAGAATTTTTTCACGGAAATCGTACGTTTTTCTTTAACTTCGATGTCCGTTTTCACTATGAAGACAAGTCCAGAAGTCAAATTTTTTTTTTTCAAATTTAAGTATATTACATTAGCTTTAATTTAAGGTATATATAAAAGTGTCAGTCTTTCCGGAACATTTTCAAAAGTTAAGTTGAAAAAGTTCTACTTTCTATACGCATTTTAAAAGGTTTGCACCCCCNCCACTTTGAAACCCTTCCTGTGGGCTGTTAAAGGGTCAAATATTCACAAAAATATATAAAATGATAGGTAAATATCTAAGGTATCTATAAAAAAAAAATTTNATAAAATGATAGGTAAATATCTAAGGTATCTACAAAAAAAAAAAATTATATTGATTCGGTCATTTTTAAAAGAGTTATGGCAATTTTAAGTAAAAAAAAATGAAAAAAAATCGAAAATTAGCGATTTTTAAATTTGTAATTTTTTGGAGGTTTCCCTCATTTACGTGAGAACAACAACAAGAGAATTTTTTTCAATTTTTGAGAATAATGTCTTCGACTAGATACGATTTGTGATCTTTTGACANTTTTGAGAATAATGTCTTCGACTAGATACGATTTGAGATCTTTTGACGTATTGTTGAAAGAAATCGGTCCATTGAGAGGTGAGAAAAAGTGGTAACAGACATAAAAAAAAAAAAAAACACATCATAGTAAAACCAATACTTTCTCAGCTTCGCATCGAAGCTAAAATGCTATTGAGGTTAAATTTAATTTATGTACAATAGGTCTAGATGTACCAATTTTTAAAAAAATTAAATAAAGTTGAACTAGATTTGTTGAATTTTGATATTGGTATCAATGATATAATTATAAAAAATTCATTTGAACAAACTAAAAAAACACATAATAACATCGAAGCTAAAAATTATTTTGTGAACATATTGTGGAAATACTTGAAATAGAACATATTCTTTATTATATATATAATATATTATATTTATGAAATATTGTCACAATAATTGCTTCAAAATATTTTAAACAGTATTTTTTAAGAATATTTTGACAATATGAATATATCAAAATTGCTGTTGGGGAACATGTTACCAAAAAATTTGGTATATTATAGACTGGCAGTACCAAAAACAAACACAGTTTTAAAATTAATATATTACATAGTAAAATGATTTATTTTACTATTCTATATTTGGTCTTTTTCCTTTAATCAAAACTGTTTTTCCATGTTCGAATATAGGGATGTGTTTGGGTTGGACATAAAAATCGACTGAATTCTTTTGACCAATTAGTTGTTTTTTGTCCAACTGGTTCCATCATATTGTTCCATAGCGCGTTAGCAGCTTAAACACAAATAAAATTTGATTGACTGTAATATATAGATAACTCAATGTAATTAAATTTTATTATAAATAATGCAGTTATAATGAAACTCAGTATTTTTCAAATGAGGGTCACAAACTAATTATTAATAGTCGCCAATATATGGTTTGCATACGAATATGTCTATGGTAAGGTTGGATAAAAAATTAAAAAATCATTAAAGAGTTGCCATGACAAAGTTTATGTTTATATCAGTTTACTCTTGTAAAATTTTGGTTATTTAATGTAATAAAAATATGAAATCTTTGCTTTATCAACGTAGATTAATTAGTGCCAACACTGATATTTTTTAATATATCAACATTGATGTAAATGTAGATAAAAGTCATACGTATGAATAATTCTTTAATCAAATAAATTATTTTGGCGACTATTACAATGTGTTACAATTACTGATTATTAAATTTTATGACCCCTTAATTTTTATACTTTTGTAATTTCCTATTAAGAATTTATTTTTATATTTACTACTAAATTTATATTACTGTAATGAAATTTAAAAATACCTCTTGCGTAACCTTTTTGACTTAAGTGAAAACAATCTGCTGATAACAATGACATATCGGTGTTACCATTTTTTAGTACTGGCCAAATTAGGTCTTCAGTGAACGGTTGCAATACTACTGTAAAGTCATCATCTTGATTTAATGTCTGATTTTGAACCTATTAATATTGATAGTCGAGTTTTAAATATATAATGATAATTACGATATTATAAAATTTGTTTAATACATTCTAAACTTAAGTCTAGAATGTGGTAATAGTTAAAAATCTTACTACTTCTTTTTCAATATTACGAAACTCATTAATGAATTTGTGATAAATATGAAGTCGGTTTCGATTTTTCATACCAAACATACAAGGACATTCAAAGGGATTAATAACTGAACAAAGTAATGGTTTACCAACAAAATTAGTCATTCCTACAACATCTAAAAACATTCAGTAATCTGAATTAGATAATATAAATATTGTATTTATTAATTCTTAATGAAAAAAATGTTTAATAAAGTTAATAATCTTAAATAAACATTTTACTTTAATAAAATGTAGCACTAAAATAGTATTAATTTAGATAAACTTACCTAAACTCATAATTAAGTTTACAAAAGTTTTTGGAAGATTAATTTTCAAATAATATAAAGCATTGTAAATATTTTCTCTGTATGTATTTGTTATTTTTAAACTATCATTATTGCACGTTTGCTGACAAAATGTATTTGTACCCAAAAAAATTGTTATTAACTATAGAAATTATCATTATTGTTCTCCATAATATTATTATTATTAAAAGTATTTACTTTCCAATCCTCTAAATAGTTTATTCTTTTAGAATTTTTTATACGATTAACAATTTCTTTTGCTTGAAATAGGACATCTTGAGAAAGAGCTCCAGTTTCAGCAACATTAAACTGTGAACCACGTTCCTCAGCCAATGGACTACCGTAAGAATAACCCTTTAAATTTGGATTAAACTCCTTGATAATGTTTGGTAAAGTTAAATATTTTCTCCAGTCACCATTTCCACCTAATTATAATTTACTATTAAAAAATTAACCAGTAATGTTTAATTTAACATAAAAATGAAAAAAAAAGTGAAATCATTTTTTAATAAGAATGACAAGCATAGATGTTAAAATAAAAATTAAAAAACGGAGCAGTAAATTTACAACAAAATTATATTAAAATAAATATTTATTAATTTGTATAATTTATGTTTAAATATGGTAATTTATAATGAAGATTTTTACCAATAGAAAATGAAAATCCTCGATCTTCTACATTTACTTCTAATATATTTTGTGCAAAACTTCCAAGTCCTACTACCATTGATGCTCCTATTGCACCAATCACATCGATATCACCTGGTCTTAACTGATGGACACTATCCGGTTTTACTGCAGACCTAGTATTATCAGTCTGACAAAAGAACTTAGTGGTTTTTGGATAACGAACTTGTATTTTCTGAAATAAATTTACGTTACAAATAGGTTTTTATGCGATAACTAACATTTTCTATTAACTTTTTTTCTGATAGATTTCANGATTAACATTTTCTAATAACTTTTTTTCTGATAGATTTCAGCTCTCGATCTGATGATATTGTTTGTACTGAAATCTGTACTAGTTTTTTTATTGGATAATAAAACTTCCTTTCAGTATTTAAAACATTTTTTGGTATATCTGTCAAATTGTCATCTGAAAATCGTTCAATCCACGATTCAGCTCTTGAATTTTGTTTCGATGATGTAATTTCTATTAGAGTATAGAACACCAAACATATTTCAAATAATAAAATAATTGATGGATAGAATAAAAATTGCATTTTTAAAATAAAATTACGTCTAATAGTTTAATTAGTAGTTTAAGTATCTATAAAAGAGTTAATGTTTAATATGACGTAAGTGCTATAACAAACATTGTTTATTGATACTGTAAATTAAGAAAAATTTTAATAAAAAAAATACCAAAAACACATAAGATTTTATTCACAAACTAAAAAACTTACCAGTTTTATGTGTCCCAAAAATCTATTCAAGGCTTAAGAATTATATTAAAATTTATGTTTTATCTGTGTGTTTATCCCCTCTTCTCATATTAATGAGATTATTATTGGCCTTGCCAATAGAAGAAATTTTATCACAGTAATTGAATTTTGGAACATTCATTTTAATTTATTTAATAAAAATAATTTGTTAATTATTAATATTTATCCATATTAACAGTGGGGAGAATTTTATAGTACTTGATTTTGTTGTGATACCGTTCATCGCTCTAATTTAATATTATTCGCAATGTGTATCACAAAATAAAATAATTATCTTAAATTGATATCATAGCATAATCACTGATGTAATTAATACAATGTATGTACTTGTTCAGTTTAAGATTAATATCTGTACCATAAATGTAAACACTGTAAATGAATTTACAAAGATAATGTATTAAGTAACAGTATCAGTAAGAAAAATAAAATGTGCCATAATCAACGTAACATTTTATCCCTGCTTATAATTTTCATTTCATTTACCTTATTATATTATAATAAAAACTTACTTTGGCTCACTATAATTTTTTTTTATCTTCGATGCGAAGCTGAGAAATTATAATTTTTACTATGATGTTTTTTGTGTCCGTGAACGTTCAATCTCAGCTCTCGTTGGACCAATTTTGATGAGCAACACGTCAAAAGATCAAAAATCATGTCTAGTCAAAGACATTATCCTCATAAATTGAAATAAATTCCCTCGTTCTCCTTAAACGGGGGAAATCCCCAAAAAAATTAAAAATTCGGCCAAAAAATGACAGAATCAATACAAAATTTTTTTTTATAGATACCTTAGGTATTTACTTATCATTTGACATATTTTTGAGAATATTTGACTCTTTACCAGCCCACAGAATGAGTTTCAAATTGGTAATCTTTTGCAAAAAATTTACTTTTTAAAATTTTGAAAATGTTCCGGAAATAATGCGTCCTTTAACTTTTTTTTTATTGAATTTTTTAGTTGCAGTAAATTATTAAAATAAATTCAGTTTTGCATATATCAATTGTAGAATCTTTTTAAAAACCTAAAGTTAATTAGAAATTATTACTATGATTTCTATTATGTGATTACTATGTGATTTTTTTCTTAAAATTTTTATAAAATTTTCAAAAATCAACATAGTTTTTTAGCTTCGATGCGAAGCTGAGAAAGTAATGGTTTTACTATGATGTGTTTTTTTTTTTATGTCTGTTACCATTTTTTCTCACCTCTCAATGGACCGATTTTTTTCAACAATACGTCAAAAGATCTCAAATCGTATCTAGTCGAAGACATTATTCTTAAAAATTGAAAAAATTTCCCTCGTTCCCCGTAAATGAGAGAAACCTCCAAAAAAATTACAAATTTAAAAATCGCTAATTTTCGAAATTTTTTTTACTAAAAACTGCTATAACTTTTTCAAAAATGAACATATCAATATAATTTTTTTTTATAGATGTTTGATGACATTACCTATTATTTGATATATTTTTTTTTATAAATTTGACCCTTTACCTGCCCACAGGGGGGGATTTAAAATGAAAACTTTTTCACAAAAAATTAATTTTTTCAACTTAACTTTTGAAAGTATTCCGGTAGGCCTGACACTTTTATATATATCTTAAATTAAAGCTAATGTAATGTACTTCATTATGAAAAAAAAAAAATTTGACCTCTGCTCTTGTCTTCGTGGTGAAAATGGTTACCAAATACTATTTTTGTGTGAAAAAGCTGAGTGAGAAGGTATTAATTTTATCATGTGTGTTTTTTTTTTATGTCTGTTGTCACTTTTTCTCACCTCTCACTGGACCGATTTCTTTCAACAATACGTTAAAAGATCACAAATCGTATCTAGTTAAAGACATTACCCTTAAAAATAGAAAAATTTTTCCTCGTTCCCCTCAAATGGGGGAAATATCCAAAAAAATTACAATTTTATAAATCGCTAATTTTCAACATTTTTTCAATTTTTTTTCTTAAAACTTCCATAACTTTTTCAAAAATAAACAAATCAACATAATTTTTTTTTATACTACAACCTTAGATATTTTCCTTTCATTTCATATCATTTTTTTGAAATTCTAACACAACCTACTCATTGGGGGGGATTTAAAATAGCAACTTTTTTACAAAAACTAACTTTTTCAACTTAATTTTAGAAAATGTTCCGGAAATACTGACATTTTTATATATATCTTAAATTAATACTTATGTAATATACTTAAATATTAAAAAAAAAAAATTTTGGACTTTATATTGTCTTCATGGTGAAAATAGCTACCGTATTAAAAAATATGCTATTATTGTGTTAAAATTCTTGGTTTTGTATTTTATTTTATATTTTATATTTTATTTGTATTTTCATAAATATTATATCAATCTAATTGACATAGTATAAAAAATTAAACATATTTAAATTTTTTTGTTTCTTTGAAGTCGAGAAAAATAACTTTAAAATTTGAACTAGATAAATTTCCATTTTTATTAAGTGACGAATGAGACGTACGGTTTCTAAGACGGTAACACTTGGGTCTTTCACGCCTGATAAAACTACAAAAATTTTAACTCAATAGCAACAAGGGTTTTTTCCTTGACTTGTCTAGCGTAATTGAATTAGGTTAATTAATATTGATACTAATTAGAGAAAAAGGATGTTTACTTATTAAGAATTTTGGAATAAGTATATATAACACATAAGTATTATATAACTAGATACCAAGAACAACCAAGAAAGTAACTAAAGGGAAGATAGCTGCCTCTCTTAAATTACCTCAGTTGGCCAATAAGATATATATTTTTAATATTTATAACAGTATACTGATAATATATTGATTAATATTTCGAGTTAAATATTTTATATAATTTCTTATTATTATATTTTTATAATATTTATAAGCAAATATTTAAAAAGATATTTTTGAAGCATATTGTAGAAATATTTTTAGTATAATATTTTCTTTAATACATTCTCAAAATATAAATAAACAAATATTAAAAAAATTATTTTGTGAACATATTGTAGAAATATTTAAATAGAGCATATTTTTTATTATATTTATGAAATATTGACACAATAATTGCTTCAAAATACTTTAAACAGTATTTTTTAAGAATATTTTGACAATATGAATATATCAAAATTGCTGTGTGGGAACATGTTATCAAAAAATTTGGTATATTATAGACTGGTAGTACCAAAAACAAATACAGTTTTAAAATTAATAAATTACATAGTAAAATTATTTAATTTTGTAGTTAAAACCTATTATTATATCAAATCTAATTCGATAATAAATACTTAAAAATATTGGAAATTAATTATTTTAATTGTCTGTATGGAGAAAGCTGGTTAAGTAACTTTTTATTTGATAAAGGGGAATTTATTTAAATTTATGAGAGTAATATCTTTGGCTAGATACTACTTATAATTATTTGATATATCTTTCAAAAACATTGCTTAAGAGAGGATTGTGAAAATAAATGACAGTCACAAATAAAACAACATAGTAAACTAATTTTTATATGAAAAAGAAATTTCTTCACACAAGGGGGGAGACTACAGTAACGGGATCCTTGATATTGTTATAGTTATTGAATCTAAATGAGATAAATATCAAATGAGTTGAAAGTTTTTATAGCACAAATTATGGTAGTTTTAAGAAAAAATTTTGAAAAATTTTGAAAATTACAGAATATTTAAATTGTAATTTTATTGGGGATTTCCCCCATTTACGTTAAACAAGGAAATTAAAAAAATATATATTTTGCATACTAATATTCATATACTTTAAATTTACACATCTTATGATTATCATAAATAGAGTAACTTAAAAAAATTACATAGTTAGAAAATAAAAAAAAACATTAGGAAACTATTCAATTAAGTGTCAAACGAAAAAAAGTCATTATTTTGACTATTAAATAAAAACACTATTTACATAAAACGTATTTATTGTTAATATTAAATGACTATTCTATATTTGGTGTTTTTCCTTTAATCAAAACTGTTTTTCCATGTTCGAATATAGGGATGTGTTTGGGTTGGACATAAAAATCGACTGAATTCTTTTGACCAATTAGTTGTTTTTTGTCCAACTGGTTCCATCATATTATTCCATAGCGCGTTAGCAGCTTAAACACAAATAAAATTTGATTGACTGTAATATATAGATAACTCAATGTAATTAAATTTTATTATAAATAATGCAGTTATAATGAAACTCAGTATTTTTCAAATGAGGGTCACAAACTAATTATTAATAGTCGCCAATATATGGTTTGCTTACATGTTTGTATACGGTAAGGATAGCTAGGATATTGAAAAATTATTAAAAGGGACGTCATGACAAATGATCGTTAAATGATTAGTTTCATTTAATTAGATTAAATTTATATTAAAAATATAAATAATAATTGTATGTTTTATTAAAAATGGACTTAAAAACATTATGTCAATGCATATGATAGCTTGTTATAGTTATGTAAATAGTTGTAATAGTTGAAATGTTTATAAATAAAAATAAAACTATTTTTAGAGTGAACCCAAAATTAATAAGTGAATTAATAGGATCTATTGAATTAATTTAATTAAAATATTTTATATGAAAATCATTAAATTACTGGATTATTTTTTTAATTGTTAGGTTTATATCTATGGTCCCATAGATTACATAAATTTCACAATAACTATGTCTGAGTTAAATTTTCTTAAGTTTAAAATATTAAAGTAATCTTATTTTTTAATGAATAATCATGAATATTCATTTTAAATATATGAGTATTAATAATTATGAAATAGACAATATAAAAATAATTATGCAATAGAAGTTGCATATGCTAATTATATTGTATTTTATGTTACAATACATCATAGTCATCATATTAATTATGTATTATACATATCAATCTTTTAAACTATTTCGATAAAATAGTAGTGGCAAATCATTTATTTTAAGTAAAATAATTAGTCGTAACATAATCGAGTAATAAACAGTTAATAATATAGGTCGTGACACTTCTTGCACATTAAGATTGATTAAATTTAATATAAAAGGCAACAAAAACTTTTACTTGGACTCACTACTCCTTCACTTTATGATCTTTCAGCAAGTGTAAGTAGTGACTTGGCATATATTATAAATTCACAAAATATCGTAAAATTAAAAAAGTATATTTATTTAAAATCTTGCTTCCAACATCACGTAAACTTACATTTCACAGAAGATTTACAAGGTTTAAAG